CACCTGATTGTTTGTTAAGGACCTTGTGCTGTAGCTCTTTAACTGGCCAGCGTGCCTTGCTGCATTGAGTGTCTGTCTCATATATAACTAAAATCACTCACCTGAAGACTCTACATCTCCATGTTGTTACGGGATCGCAGCATCTCTGCACAGCCAAGACATCACATCACATAGATAATTTGTTGACTTGTGACAGCTTCAGAGCACAAGTTTCAGCGTGCGTAAAAGCAAACAAGTAAAAGACCTGAGACTTAAAGAAAAACAAGGGAGAGGAAGAACAGTCAATAAAAACTTCATAGTGAAAAATGAAGAAAATAAAAGCATTTTTTCAGACATGCACCCCCACCACTACATTACCCCTAGAACAGCCCACATTTCACGGCAACACCTACAGCTGCATTTGATCCCTCCATCGCAGGTTTCCTCCCCAGCTGCTCAGCTATTCCCATTTTTTCAAGGGAAGACTGAAGCACAATGACATTTCCTGTTGCTCTCTGGGGGCTCTGGGATGTGTGTGTTCGTGTGTGTATCTCTGTCCATCTTTGTTCTTCTGCTGCATCTGCCCAACACTTGATGGCCTTTGTATGCTTTTTCCCAGGAAAAAGCTTCTGATTGCCTTTTCCGCCCCAGTCTGAAATGGAGACAAAGCCAAGTGCAGTTCTTGGCTTGGCATGTCACTATCGTAATGATACCGTGACCCAGGGAGGAAACCTGTCCAAGAGACATCTGCATCTTGATCACGTGCTGGATGCTACTTTTAGAATGCCAGATTAGCATAATCTGTCTGCAAGAATATCAGACACGCTTCATTAGCTCAAAGCTGAACAATAGTTCTGAAAAGCTGCTTGCGGTTTGCTTTTTTTTTTTTTTCCTTTAAAATATGTTTTTCCTTTGGAATTTGGGTGTCCAAATTTGTTTGGAATCCAGGGCCCTCGTGGCTCCAGCACATCAGATGACTGCAGCTGGCCTGCTGACTTGGAAGGGAAGAACACTGGCCGCATTCCACACCAGGACGGCTGTCCAGAAGAAAGGCGCTAATGGTTGACCTGAGTCTCTCTGTAGAGGAAAAGGCACTAACCACACCACTCACACTGACTACTCACACACCACCTAACATCAGCACCTTTAAATTGTCACTCACATAATATTGCTGTCTCACAAGTCATCAAAAGAAAGAGAGCCATGCTGAGGCGGGATACCACCTCCCAAATGCCACAGCCTCTGGGTAGCTGCTCTTATCTTCAGCGAGCACGGGACTGAAGGAGCAGGCTCTTGTCCTCAAAGGACAGCCTTTGAGGCGCCCAGAGGTCCCCAAAGCCACCACGGCTGACTCCATGGATGCCACACCCTAGACTAGGCTCTGTGGGGCAACACGTCACAGATGTAGATGAGCCAGCAGGTCTGGAAGCCAGGTCACTAAGCCACAAGGCTTTGCACCTAAGCAAACATGGCCAGCCTTGCTTCTGGCCTCTGGTGGGGAAGGCTGCAAGCCCCTACAGCTCAGGAAGGTGCCAGTTGAGGGGCTGACCCCATGAGTAGACTCCCCAGTGCACATCAAAATAGGTGGTCTGTTGGGTGGTGCCTCTACGTGCCTCTACGTGCATGCTGAGTCTCCCATCTTGTTCAGGAAACAAAGCAACCAACTCATTTCAGCCTACAGCACCGTTTCCAAGAAACTATTTTCACTTGTTCAGTCCAAACTCAAAACAAAACCCCACCACACACGCTACCCGTAAGACAGAACTGTACCTGAGCCGAGGTTTGAGGAATCACATAAAACTCCCAGCGGGTGCTCCCACCAGGGAGTTCCCAGGGGCTTCTTGAGGCACCACTGTGGTTGATGATTACAGCTCAGGAGAAGCAAAGCTGCTGTGGGGACAACCTGACTTTGGTTAAGTTGCAGAGAACTCCATCCACTCTTCAAATTGAGGTAATTTTAAAAAATGTCATTTTTAACAGTTATTCCTGGAGGGAGCAAGGAGAAGAGGGGGAATAGTTTATCACCATCTTCGTATTTAACAAGTTTTGGGGTTGGAAGTGTTGGGATATCTGCTGACACTAATTTCTGTGACTAAGCAACTGTGGGCCACATTTCAAGTGTGGGAGGAGAAATGAAAGTTATCCTCATCCTTATCTTCAGTTTTTGTTGTTTTGTTTTTTGGTCAGGACATATTTTTCACTCAGGAAAGATTTTAACTGGGGACAGATGAAAGAGAGGGCAAGTTCCTTTATTTATTTTCTGATAGACCATGAAAAAAAATTATGAGTGACTAAACCAACAAACTTTCTTTAATAAATTAATAGCAGCATCACAAAACCCTGATGTGAATAACCCAGAGGAAGTTGGGTAAGTGACAGTGTTTAACCATTCACAAAAATGTTATCGCCCGCTGGCTGGGAGAGAACGCAGGTGCTGTAAGGCAGTCCCCTTGTCTGTCTAAACAAGTGACATACATCACTACGAGTCCAGCTGAGTTGCAACGCTCGACATATTTACAGTTCTGGTGCTGATTTTTTTAAAAAACATTTATAAAAATTCTGTAAATTCTCTGTTCAGTTCCCACTATTTACATCCCAATATAGTAGGTTCCTTTTTTGCTCATACAACAGAAGCGGCAAGGGTAAGACAGGAAGGCTCCTATGCAAAGACAATGCCTGTGCGTGGACTTACACCGAGTTTGAGGATGCTGTGGAAAATGACCTATTCACACATGACCTATTCACACATGTGCTAGAAGCTACTGTAATTCAACTTATTGCTAAATGCTTTCAAAGTCTGTGGTTGGCTTTTAAATATATATATATATGTATATATATGTACACACACATATATATACACACACACATATACATGTTTGGAAAAGATGTGCTACGAATTCACCCAAGGAAAAAAAATTAAAAAGCAATGTGGTATTTTTTATTTTTCTGTACTGTTTGAGATAGTCAAATCTGACTCGGAGCCAAGGGCAGTCACTGAAGGCACAAGTTTGTGTCTCTGGCCAGTCCTTTCCCTGCTGGTTACCAGACTTTTTGGAGAGGCAAGTGGATTCCTGAGCATTCAAGCCCGCGGGGGTATCTGCGGGCTGGCACACGGTGCATCTCTGCATCTTGCCGCCTTCTGCAAGCGGTAAGCTATGCTCTGCGCCGGGATACCTTGCCTGCCTGCACAAAGTACCGTGGATTTTTCCCACGATAGGGAGAAGACAGGACCATCAACTTCAACACTTCAAGCTGGGAGCAGCCCAGCAGCAGATGTAACCCCTACGATGGGTTTCAGTAGAGGCCTCAGTGAGGTTTTTGCTGTACACGGCAACGCAACAGCACAACAGTACGCTAAAGCACTAGCAGAATTTTCCATTTCTTCTGCAAGTTAATTTTGGTGGGATGAACACAGCAAGCTTAGAGTATGAGCAGTTCATGTTAGTAAAATGCAATTTATCCATGCCTAGTGTAAGATTTTCTGTTCTGAGGATTTTCATAGCCAGAGGCTGTCAGTGACGCTAAAAGCATCCACATTAGATGGGCACTGCAGTGTTTGTGTAGTAGTTAATGAAGATGTAAAAACCTTACGGGTGATATCTGGCATCAGACAATACCCTGCACAAGGAAAACTGCATGAGAGGCATCACCCCAGAGACACAGTGCCAGAAAGACACGATGCCTTGGAGAGTTTGTCTACACAGGAACACAGAGGCAAATTAATTCAAATTATACATGGTGTGAATTAAAAGCAGATTACTTAAACTGCATTAAATCCCAATGCGGATGCTTTCATTAAGACGTAAGTGGCATTAATATGATATACTATAATTTACTTCGGGGGTGAAATGGAATAAATCAAATTTAAAAGTTAATCCAGATGAATATTCCATGTAGACAAGCTCCAGGTCTGCTTCCTTCCCGTCCCTGGTCATCACCTCCTTTTGAACCACGCCACCAGTAAATGATTCCAGTCACATACTCTGTCCAGCTCTGCCCCCCGCCCCCCCGCCGGCCCGAGACAGGATTTCTTGGGACCCTGGTTTATGCCTCTCTCCTGAGCATCCCCCAGCGAGGCGTACCCTGCACCTCACAGCCTGACCCCAACCAGCACCATGCGCACAGCAGCTTCTGCTCCACACCCAAAGCAGTGTTTTATCACCGGCACTGCAAGTCCCAGGATGTCGAAAAATAAAAGCAAACGCTAAACAAGCTGAGGCATAAATAGATGTGAGGACCGAGAAGACAAGAGCTCTTACAAAGCCAGAGCCCTCTCCTCCGGGTCAACCAAAGACCTTGATCATCCAAGCAACCTGTGAAGGCAGTGCCGTCCACACGGAGCACGGCCTGCTCCATCCCAGAGCTGGTGATTATCTACAAGGCCAAAGGAGGGCTTTATATAAATGTGAGGCACTCCGTTTATAAAATGGCTGAAGCAGATAACTGGGACATGCTCTGCTCCTCATGCTGCTTCTCCAAGCACGCAAGTGATCCCAGCCAGGATCGCAAAACCACACCAGAACTGCATTCCCCACCTTCCTTAGGGCAGCCGGAGCCTCCCGGGGAACCGAAAGAAAACAGCAGGAGTGGAGAGGGAGTCAAAATTTAACAGAGGTCCCTTGACATGCAAGATTGCTCCAGTATGGCAGCAAGCCACTACCCGTCAGAGGACACATCTGGCCAGGTGCCTGCACAGCTGCTACGCTTCCCTGATGTCTCTCGCCAGGTTTCTGTACAGTCTTTACACGGCACAAATAAGGGTGAGGATTTAAAGTATATATTTACTGTCAACTTGAAAAAGAAAGTTATACTGACCAAGTCTAATAGCATGTATTTGATATATAACTATTAACGTGCCATTCTGGACTCCAGCAAATGCCACCTGAGATAAATATTCAGCATTTTTTGTTCATGCACTGGAAGAAGAATTCAAACATTTTGTCCATGACATATGCAAAGTAACTAATAGTTCTGATCTAGTATTAACAGTAAATATAGAACCTTAAACTTCACTGCAGTATATTAATATATATGATTTTAAGTACCAGACTGGAAAGACAACTCTTTTTTTTTCTTTAAAAAAAAAAAGCTTTGTTCAGAATGCAATATTTACATTTTCCTTTGACCAACACTTACATTTTTACACAATATATTTTGGCTACAGATACACCGTAGCAAAAGGCTCTGTGAGCCACCTTTACACACAGCTCACTCTCTCGCTTACAACGTTACAGCTGTTTATGGAGAGCTCTGAAGTCCCCGGTTGCATTTCAAGGCCCTCAGCTTCATCTAGTTCCATGCTGTTGAGTTCATTGCCATTTCGATAACTAGTTAAAGTCAGATCTTTCCCATATAAAGCTGTTGAAGCAACATTCAGACACTGGTTCTGCCGCAGCGCGGATTTTTTACTGGTCTTGTATTGGCAACGGATGTAATTGGAAAAAGCCCTGCGGTACGTTTTATTAAAGAGTGTGTATACGAGGGGATTGATCCCGGAGCAAACATACCCCACCCAAACAAACACATCGAGGAGTTCACTCAAGAGGTCTTTATCGCAGGCTTCCTTGCAAAGGACAGACATGACATTAGTGATGAAAAATGGGCACCACATGATGAGGAACAAAAAGAAGACGATGCCCAGGACCTTCGAAGCTCTTCGCTCGTTGTTGATGGACTGCATAGTTCCTTTCCGAAAAAGCACTGCCTCCTTATTTACAGGAGAGTTCAAGTGAGATGCCCCCTCGTGATTGTGAAGCATTGAAATGTTCTCTGTGTTGTTTTCCTTCTTGAGGCAGTTTACGCTGCTCCTCCTCTGCTTGGGCACCTCTCCGCACATGAACACCGTTGCCTGTCTCTGCAGCACCTGGACGGTCAGGCAATACGTGATCACCATGATGATGAGAGGGATGAAGAACGCCATGAAGGATCCAATGAGGACGAAATTCTCGTCATTGAGGACACAGGTCCCATTTACGAACACCCTGGAGTCATCCTGCAAACCAATGACTGGGATGGGCATAGATATCCCTAGAAGAACAAGACCAAAAAAAGAGTTGGTTACCCAGACAGACAGAGCTCCAAAAACAATGCAGGTCTTGCATGCGTTCAACCCGCTGCCTGAAGGTGTTTCAAAGAGCAGTCACTGCTCCCAGAAGGAAGGGAAAAACCCAGTGTAACAGCGCTCCTGGGAGCACAGCTGCAGGGCTTCAACACCCAGGAATGACTGCGGCTTTGCCATGCTCCAGAGCTGACACAGCGAATGCAGCGTAACTCCTTTATCAAGTTCTTTTTCTAGCATTAATCGTGATCTGTGGCTGTAGGAGAGGCAGTCGTTACCCTGCTCTGTTCCAGCTGGACACTTCATGCCTGCCAGTCTCAGGAGGGTTGAAATCACTGACATAGGGTACATAGTAGCAAACTTTAAAGAGGAAAATTATCAAAATGCAAAGGAATTACAGCCATGAGGATCTAGAAGCAAGTTTCTTAAAGACATTAAAATAATCCTGATAGAAAAATGGCCACTTTTGCCATTGGCATCACAGACACATGGAAGAAAAGCTCCCGGCTTTCTGGGTCCTCATCGTCTGTCTCGATGCAAGCAGAGAGCAGTCTCTGCGAGCTCTGCCTGCCCAGGCGTTTCATCCATAAGAGGTGTGAAACTGAGGATGTACCACAGAGACAGTTGTGCTTGAATTCTTAGAGAAGGCAACTACACAGCCAAATCAACAGGCTGCAGCATCTGCCCCATTCTCTGTCTTTAATACAGGGCTAAAAACAGGAACAACAGACGACGAGAGAGTAGAAAAGGTGCAGCTAAAAAAGCAATCAGGTTGACATGATGGCCTGAAATGAGAACCCCAGCTACAAACCCTCTGGCTGGAAGGAAGGAAACTTTAAATGATTCAATTATAATAATAACTGTGGCACAGCTTCCAGCTACTCCTTAGTGCTAAGCAGGCTAATAAGCCTCGGGAATCACTGCGCTTGCCAAGGCAGTTTCTCTTGTATCCTGGTAGCACAGCACTTTCTGTGGGGACAGAAAGATGATGGAATACAGGGCTCATGCCAGAGTACTGGATCGCACTTGAATATTTTTCATGCATACTGAGATCCAAACTTTTTCCCTTGATCTGTGGAGCTCAGTCCCACACCAGGACAGACCCGAAACCTTCCAAAGAAATCTGTCTAGACACAACCAAAACCAGCAAAAGCAACAACATATTCTGGAATACCAAAACCTATGTGCACATGAGAACATGGAAAAGCCATGGTGGGCCAGACCTAGTTAGACCACCAAGGGTTCATCTAGCCCTGCCTCTTGTCTTTGGCAAGTACCAGAAGTTTAGGGACGTGGTACAAAAGGGTATAAAGTTGTCAGCATTATAGCTTTGAAAATTCCACAGCAAGAAGTTGCATCCACACCTCGTTTTTAAAATAACCCTTGAGAGACCCATCTCCTGTGAATTCTTTATCTCATTTATAACTCCATAATACTCGGCAGCATTCAGTTCCACAACCTATCTGTTTGTCATGTGAACAAAGTAGTCCTTGCTCATTTTACATTTCTTTTGAGTCCCCTCAGTTCTTCTACTGTGAGAAACAGTGAATAATCGCTCTCCGGTCACCTTTTCCACCTTCTCAGTGATTTTATAGACCTTTGTCATCCCTACTGTCTGGTATCTTCTTTGGAACTGAAGAATGCTATTCTATTTACTCTCTCCTCATGCCAAACTGATTTTATGCCTTTGATTATCTTTCTCCATTTTTTTTTTTTTTTCAAATTCCTCTCTGTCCTTTTAAAGAAAGGGAAAAAAACCTGCACATCCCAGCAGTTCAAGAGCAACAGAATGTCTGTTGTTCTCCCTTTCCTGCCCGCTGGCCGCCCCCGGCTGGCTGGAAGCACTCACTCCGCAGACACGTCTGTGGGGCTGGCTGTGCCCTTCATCCCAGAAATAACCAATGCTGAGGCCACTGTTGTGTCTGGATCGCTTTTTTTTGGGTTGCCGTGAACAGCACAGGTCCTAGAACTAATCCTGCAGGACTCTGAGTTTCTAAACAGAAAGATGAACATGCTCAAGAGATTAAGCAGGGCATTTTTCCCATTCCAGCTAAGTGTCTTCCAGGATTCCGGAGAATACATCTGCGATTAGTCATTACCATAAAATTACCATTTGCCAGTAATCTAGCAAAGGAATTTCTTCTGAAAAGTAAGGATTATAAATGCCTTCCTTAGCCCAAGTGATAGTTCCAGGATCCGGTCTTCTTTCCCTCTACACGCTAATGTTTATCAGCTCACCCTTGGCAAGGCAGTTGCCCCCTCTCCGATATGTTACCTTGTCTGTACCAAATCCCTGCGACCGCGACAACTTTCATCCTGTCAAGCCCTTCACTCTCTGTCATTAAAGACATCTTTCTAATGCCTTGACTCCATCAAACCCCAGACATTTGGGAAGTGGTGGGAGGTGGACAGAGGGGTCTTAACGCAACGAAGAAATCTGAATCAATGGCATTACACTGGGTTTATATTTGCATGGATAATTTTATGCTTTAGAGCCCTCTATAACACATGCCCTTTGAAATAAAACTCCAAAATGAATAACAGTTCATTCATGAAGTAATCATCATTGAATTTAGTGTTATTGCTTTAGCCAAGGGAAATGAAATGAGGTTTCGGGCTATCTTCATGGTCACACACATAAAGTATATTTGGGAAGAATAACCTAGTTCTGGGATATGACGAATATACAAATCAAGAGCACTGATGGCAGCCTAAAACTCTGCATGAGCATGAGATAACTCAGCACTGATGACAGGGAATGAGGAGGTAGCTGCAGGAATGGAAAAGTGTCCCTCACCTCTCATAACAAAGGGGGATTTCAAACTGAGAAAACACACAAAAGAGAGAGCAACAGGTCTTTCCTCCAATCCAGGAAAATCCCATCGTTGACAGCAGTAGGAAGAAAGATGCCCTCAGAGGAGCTGCCAACACACATTCATTCAGCTGCCAGCCAGCCTACAGCACTGCTGAACGGGCAGCGTTACCCTCATCTCAGATGCTTCCTTCTGCCTCACGTTTGTCTTTGTAACTCATTCTTTAATACGAGATTTATCACTGATCCACCCCACAACCCAGCCGTAAAGGGAACGAAGTCTGTTACATGACTTGGGCACCAGAGACTAACTCTACACCACTCCAGGAGTGAGGAGTGAAGCGTGGAAGGTCTCAGACACTCCAGAGGGGCTTCCTTCATGGGGAGTTACTGCAAAACTGTTACTGCCACAATCCCAAAAGCACAAATACCTGCTTGCAGACACGGCTCATACCCTGGCCCTGATTTCAATAGGGTTACCCTGGTGTGACCTCTATGCGCTGTGCTTGCCATGCATTCCCACGGCGCCTGAAAACAGGTAAACAGGAATGCTTGCCTTACTTGAGTTCAGCTATTTGATCAAGCACGGAGAAGGCATTCAACCCCACTTGACTCAAGCAAGCCACAGTACTAACACTGCAGTAATAACTGTCCATAATTTAAGAATTAAGGTCAGTTGGTCAGAGAAACTCAACCTCACCACACCAGCGCGAGGACGGTGAGTGCCAACAGGCAAGAGACTCTGAAGCATTCTGCTGCTCCGCCTTACTACTGCTCAGCTCTCCGAGCCCCAATGCAGAGCGTTTCCTGAGCTTTTGCCTTCGCCAGAGCTGACACACTCTTCACCAACAACCATCAGGCTGATTTGGTGAGTGGAGGTCTCCAGCCTCGGAGGCATTTTCCAGTTGTGTCACATAACCCTTTCTTACTAGTGCAGCAGTGAATTCCCAAAGACAGGCAGTGGTGTTCCGAAAACTTGCAAGGTAAAAGCTTTGCAAGCTTACTGCGTATCACACTTTGCTCTTCAGAGAAAATTTGGTCCTGTTACTTGATGTTTGAGCAGTGCCTACAGCAACTGGTTTTGACCCAGTAAGAAGAGAGAACCAGCCAGCAAGCCATGAATGAGTGACAAGTGGCATTCCTCAGGGGTTGGTACTGGGACCAGTGCTGTTTAACATCTTTGTTGATGACATGGACAGTTGGAGTGCGGGCACCCTCAGCAAGTTTGCTGACAACACTAAGCTGTGTGGAGTGGTCAACACGTTGTAGGGGAGGGATGACATCCAGAGGGACCTGGACAGACTGGAGAGGTGAGCCTGTGTGAGAACTTCATGAAGTTCAACAAGGCCAATGCAAGGTCCTGTACATGGGCCAATCCCATCACAAATCCAGGCTGGGGGCAGAATGGACTGAGAACACCCTAAGGAGAAGGACTTGGTGGATGAGAAGCTCAACATGAGCCAGCAACATGTGCTCGCAGCCTAGAAAGCCACCCACATCCCGGGCTGCATCCCCAGCAGCGTGGCCAGCAGGGCGAGGGGGGATTGTACCCCTCTGCTGCACTCTGGGGAGACCCCCCCGCAGTGCTGGCTCCAGCTCGGGGGGCCCTATTAGCAGCAGGCGCAGGAGACGTGGGGGGAGCTGTTGGAGCGGGACCAGAGGAGGCCCCAGAGACGCTGGGAGGGCTGGAGCCCCTCTGCTGGGAGGACAGGCTGGGAGAGTTGGGGGGGTTCAGCCTGGAGAAGAGAAGGCTCTGCGGAGACCTCCGAGCCCCTTCTGGTGCCTAAAGGGGCTCCAGGAGAGCTGGGGAGGGACTCTTGATCAGAGAGGGGAGCCACGGGATGAGGGGGAACGGTTTTAAACTGGAAGAGGGGAGATTTAGATGAGATATTAGGAAGAAATTCTTGACTGTGCGGGTGGTGAGCCCCTGGCGCAGGTTGCCCAGAGAAGCTGTGGCTGCCCCATCCCTGGAGGTGTTCAAGGCCAGGTTGGACGGGGCTTGGAGCAACCTGGGCTGGTGGGAGGTGTCCCTGCCCAGGGCAGGGGGGTGATCTTCAAGGTGATCTTCAAGGTCCCTTCCAACTCTAACTATTCTATGATTCTGTGAATCAGGTCCCTGCTAGGCTCAACACTGGGAGCTCTGTGCACCCTTCTGCC